CAGGAAGACCTTGCCCATCACTGAGGAGCTCAGGGCTCTGCCTCAATGCTGAGGAAAACCACTTGAGGATGCAAGCAGGAAAGTGTTGGGAACTGGTACATTTATGAAAACGAGTTCTGTGCTAGGACACGCTGAAGGGAAAAGAAGAAACATGCTTTCTGTGTGAGTAAAGCAAGCCGGGGGTCTCTCCTGCCCATTCATCTTTCACACAGCACTACAAAATGTGCCTGATCTGCACTCTGACACTAGATCCGGCTTTGCCAAACTGCTCTCCAGCTCAGCTACAGAATGAGCGCAAGCCAAAGCCAAAGGGCAGGCTGTGGTGGGCACTTGGTGGCCACATCCCTCCCTCTGTGGCCCAGTGCCCTCCTTTGTGTGTGATGCGTCCTGCAGCTCTTGCCAGACCCTTATCCTGCCCTCATGGCAGTGACACCAGGGGCCCAGAGCCCTCCTCCCTCTTCTCCTGCCCTCCCGGCTCTAGAAACACAGCCACAGATCCCAGGCACCTAGGCTGAAACCTGCCCAGCAGAAAGCAGCTCCTTCCAAAAAGACATTTTTCTCTACTCTTTTTTTTCTCTGTGGCAATGGGTAAAGAATCGAATGGACTCGGTCATTTTGGTAAACAAATTGCTAGATACAGACCTACTCCCAGGTGCACACAGCTCTCTCAACACAGAAGTGAGATTAACAAATCTGTCCTCTTCACTTCTGGTCCCACACAGTACTACCCACTGGTCCTGGGCCACAGGGTCATGCTGGTGGTGGAGTGGACCTAAAGTAATGGCTGACCCAACTCCATTCCCTCCTCCTCAAACCTGCTATTAACGTTATGTGGGTATTAGTCCTCCCTTAATGTAAGAAGCTGATTACTAGCCACAGGAGATAAGATTGATATAAAATTTCCAAACTATGTATTTCCAAAACCTAGCAATACATGGTGTTCCTGACATTTTCAGAGAAAGAATTGGGCCTTTCATGCAAAATGGTTTGCCCTTGACAAACACAAGTCATTAAGGCATCAAAATACGTATCCTCTGTTGACTGTATCTGGGCTTGCGTCTTGACTCTCGTTTGCTGCTGCTGCTGTGTAAGCGAGTTGGGTGAGCTGCTTAACTTCCCTGAACCTCCGCATCTTCATTGGTCGCATGGGTTGTTGGTGGAGACTGAAGAAAGTGTGCATGTGAAGCGCTTAGCCCAGTCGCTGGCACAGGGTGAATATCCATCCAGTACTGTTAGCAAAATAAGACCTCATGTTCGGTGCAACTGAGCAAGGTGTAAAAGTTAACAACATCAGCCTTTACCAACAGATGGGAAGCTATCAGATGCATCACAAACATCATAAAAATGACAGAGAAGGATAGTAACATTTGAAAGCATTTAGTTAATTTAAGCACATGCAGTCGAAATACAAGAAATCTTTAAATGAGCTGTTAATTCACTATTTTCTGCCTAGAAATAATTTTATGTGTAGTTTTCTCTGTGGTGTGGTAAAAGCCAATAATAACAATCTGGTGAGAGTGTTCTTGGTGCAAGCAGGGTTGTGAGCACTTTGTGAACACATTTAATCTTCACAGCAGCCCTGAAGTGGTGCCGTTACCATGCATCTCTTACAGATGGGGAAAGTGAGGCAGGCTGCTTGACTCCAGAGCACTCACTGTTAAACTCCATGACATGTACCAGAAGTGGACAAACTGTGGCGGGGAGGCCACATCTGGCCCTCTGCCTGTTTGTGTAAATAAAGTGTTACTGAAACACAGGCAAGCACATTAATTTGCATATTATCTATGGTTGTTTTTGCACTAAGCTGAGTGTTACTGCAGAAACCATATGACCCACAAGTCTTAGCTATTTACTCTGTGGCCCTTTACAGAAGTTTATCAACCCCAGATGTCAACTTTAAACTTCACTAGAGATTGGGATTTGGAATTGATGGTGGATGTTTATAGATTTATCTCACGTGACTCCCATAGCAATCCCATGAAGCAGTAGTCTTTTCCTTCTACAGTATTTCCATTTTACAAATGAAGAAATGGGGGCTCAGAGAAATTGAACGACTAAACAGTAAACTTCGTGAGGCAAGGGGGAGGGGTCAGGTGTCTTAACCGGCATGCCCCTGTCACCTCCCACAGCACTGGAACGGCATGGACACTCAGAAATAGTTCTAAATGAATGACAGATGTAAAGGTCACTCTGCTAGAGAATGCAGGTCTCCTGATCCACTGCTGGCAGTGAAAAAAGAGACTTTCTCTTGAGATAGGATGAAATACAGGGTGGTTGACATGTCCTTCCGCTGTCAGTTGACAAATTTATGCTGCTGTATTCCTCCCCCTCCTTAGTCAAAGAAGATAAGCTCAGCCAGTCCACACGGTTTTGTGTTTCCCTTAAATGCATAGTCATGGCCTTCAGAGCCTTTTTGTCCTTGGGATTGGTGCATTTTTAGACGAGATTAAAACTGACACCTTGTGAGGCGGGGGTCACATGGAAGCTGGGTGCTGGCTGGGTTTCAGGCGGAGCCAAGCACCTGCCTCCTCCCTCTCTGCCCCACTGCCCAACCGTGATGAGTCCCGGCGTGGAGCCAGTCCCCTTTCAACAACGACAGACTGCAGGCTTTTGTTTTCTTTCTTCTTGCCTTGTACTGGGCATGTGAGGCTCCAGTATTAATAAACTAGCACCTCGGCCCTCTAGATCTTGCTGTCGGTCAAGGAGAGAAATGAAAGGTTTGGCCAGTCCCAAGTGGCACACACTTTCACTCCTCTCTTGACTGTCACGCACTGGCAGGTGGCAGAGCTGGACCAGACAGGCAGAAGCATTTGGTGTGGTCACCATTCATGGACGGCGGCCTCTACTAGAGTGTTTTTTTTTTTTTTTTTTTT